CCAAGCCTCCAAAATCTTGAGTGCAACATGATAAAAGTACGAATTTATACATCATAGCATTTGTATCTAGAATGTCCTCAGTACTTCTTTATCTAAAATATTTTTGTTCAGATAAGCTCCTAAAACTTTTATATAAATGACATAAAATTTTAAAAGCAGAATTAAAACAAAGGAAATTTTATACCTGTACATAACACCTTCCTGCCAGCTGTACGCGTATATGAGGCAGCACAGAGGTAGGCCTTAATCTGTGCTGCCATATAGAAGCATCGATGTTTTATGTCAGGAGCATGCACAATCATGTGACCTCAGCACTGTAATCACGCTGTCACTGACTGGCTGGTAGTACAGTCTTCCAATCACATGATCACTTTTGAAAAAAGTTAGGAAAGGTAACATGGTATATATGAGGTGTGACTATTTAATTACCCAAATGGACCGTTAAACACCTCTGCATTCTTCAAAAGATAGGATGAAATTTGAAGACTATGTTCTTTCTGATCTTCTGTCAAGATTTCAGGCACCATCTTTGGAGAAATCTCTCTCATTCCCAAATCCTCTGTAAGAATCTGCCACCCTTCCCTGTTGATGTTTAATTCTTCTGCCATCATTTGCACACCAAATCTTCGAACTGTGCGTGTGGGGATTTACACTCTGTCCACATTTGCTTCTGTCCTTTGCATTTTCAGCTGTCCACTTCTTGCATCAATGTGGACATCTGCACACCCCTCTTTAAACCACCTATGTCTTCCAAAACACTTGATTTTTTAATGGCATGTTCACCATAAGCCTGTTGTAACAGAGCTAACGTTTCACTCGCACTTTTGTCAGAGTTCAAGCAAAATTTGATGTCAATCCACTGGTACTGATTTTCCCCCAATAACGTAATGCACATACATGTTATTTCTTCCACTACTCTGTAAAGACACAATCAACTGGTCTTTGACCCAGGCGAGTGCAAGTTTGAACATGTCAGAACACACTTGGGTGTGAAATGGCTATATGACTCACTACCATAATTAAATTGTCATACCTCATACATCTTCTAAAACATGCAGTAAAAGGCACTGGCGAGCAGTGTACTCATCCATCCATTTGCCTTCGACCCGTTGCACATAAACCTTTTGCATGGGCCTCTTAGAAAATTATTTGGTGTGTTTGCTTTCATAAATATGGTCATTATAGGAGCGTTTCTACTGTCCTAATGCTCCAACACATCTAAAAATGTCATAGGTAGTCAGTAAATAAGATGTGTAATTTAAGCCCAGTGAAAGCCTGAAGGTGCTCTTTGGATTTTAGGCCCCTCTAGGTGTCATACAGCTGTACACTATACTTGTGTTTACAATAGCACTGGCATATACTGTACATGTTATTTCTTCCACTACTCTGTAAAGACACAATCAACTAGTCTTCGACCCAGGCAAGTGCAAGTTTGAACATGTCAGAACACGCTTGGGTGCGAATGGCTATATGACTCACCACCATAATTAATTTGTCATACCTCATACATCTTCTAAAACATGCAGTAAAAGGCACTGGCGAGCAGTGTACTCATCCATCCATTTGCCTTCGACCCGTTGCACATAAACCTTTTGCATGGGCCTCTTAGAAAATTATAAATATGGTAAGCCCAGTGAAAGCCTGAAGGTGCTCTTTGGATTTTAAGCCCCTCTAGGTGTCATACAGCTGTAAACTATACTTGCGTTTACAATAGCACTGGCATATACATGAGTATAGCAGCACACAACCAATCATGTTAATGAAAGGCTATATGCTGCACCTGGTTTGCCTGGGCAGAGAAGACATGGCTGCAATTATGCCAAACAGAGTTAGCCAGCCCATGTGTAAGAGCCCTACAACACAGACTAAACATCCACCAATTGTTTTTTTTTCATAACCAAAGAAATGTAGAAGAATACATTTTGGCTTAAGACCTCATTCCCATGGTGCAATGATGTGTGCCCCATTGAGGGTCATGTTTTGCCAGCACAAGAATGCACAGCTGTTGCATGAATCCCCATGCTGGCCTCCCATTGTTATCTACTGGGACAGATGGCTGCACAAACACAGCAACTGTGTCCAAATATGACATCCGTGTGGGTGCAGGTCCCTGAATGCACACAGAGTGAGTTCAGGAACCCACATGGTCCCAATAGAAAACAATGGGACACCAGCATGGGGATGCAGGCAACACTGGCGTCTCTGTCTCATAAGAATGATATCAAATTAATTTGAGTACAATGCTGCAAGAGAAAGTATTTCTTAAAAAATATATCGCATATGGCACAAATGGCCTGGACACAGGCAGAGGGGTTTAACGTGCCAGTTTATAAGTGGTTAACCTACTGTTAATTAAATGTCCCTTCCGTATTATGCCTTTTAGCAATGTATAGCTGCAAGTCTAGGTGGGTATATTCATTCATTCATTTTATTTTATTTTTTCATCAAAATGAATTCATTTTCTGGGATCTTAGTCCAAATGGGCTGCAAGTGGGTAGTAATCTAAGTAGTTGCAAACAAAAACATGCATGATGCTGGAAACAGAGGGACATTTTCACAAGATAATTCAGCTGGAGCTAGCTGAAGAAGTGGGATAGCATTCATATTGTGATTGATAAGCCTCCATTTTCCAGGCTTGATAAAACAGATATGACAGTAAAATTGAGGCCAAAAAGGCTAATAATACACAAACATTCCCTTCACTGAGTAAATATGTATATTATTCATATCTCAAACATTGTATAATGTACAATTGTGCATCAAGGGCCCATTTTAAATACAATATCTCTGCAATTATGGTCATGTTAAGAACTTGTTCTTGGTCAGTCAATTAATGTTGGTGAAATAATTAACATGTAAGCCAAATAGTACTTTCAGAAGACGGCAGCAATGATAAGCTATCCATAATGGACATCACAATGAAAACCCTGCCATCGTCTGGTACCGCAGAACCAGACGTGAGTTGAAAAGAAGAGCAAGACTCATAGGTTCCAGTCTCAAGTGTAACTTGCACATATTCTACATGAGGAAATTCATCAAAGGTAAAAACGAGAGCTTGAAGAAAATTACCAACTACATGGACATCAGAAACCTTTAATTCATAACCTCATTATTGACCTAAAAATCAGGAAGATTTACATTTAGTCTGGCTTTAACATACAACATTTATAGTCTGTTATCCAGTGTAAAAGGTCAAGTCTTTTAATGGCATCTACTGTAACTCATGTTTATTGTGTAAAAGCATAGCATATCTGTTGTACACCATGTTGATGAAAGACTATTGTTAGTCCAATAAAAAAAAAAAAAAGTTACATATACAGGTTGTTTTTGTTCAGGCTTCATTTTTGGTAAAAAAAATTAAAACCAAACTCAAGTCAAATCTCTAGATAAAGAACAAAGAACTTGTATGTGAACTGTCTTTGCTGCTGAAATATGTGATATTCCGTTCAGCCACTTGAGTGATTTACACACTTGTGCCACAGCATGTAATTAACCACTTGCCTACCGGGCACTTTTACCCCCTTCCTGCCCAGGCCAATTTGCAGCTTTCAGCGCTCTCACATTTTGAATGACAATTGCGCGGTCACGCAACACTGTACCCGTATGAACTTTTATCTTTTTTTTCACACATATAGGAGATTTCTTTTGGTGGTATTTAATCGCCACTGGGTGTTTTATTTTTTGCACTATAAAAAAAAAACTTTTTTGAAAAAAAAAAAGTATTCTTTGTTTCGCTTATAAAATTTTGCAAACAGGTAATTTTTCTCCTTCGTTGATGTGCCTTGATGAGGCTGCACTGAAGAGGTGGCACAGATATGCGTAAGGAAAGTGCTGCCAATAACCAGCAACTGTATTTACTCGATGATCTGCTGTGTCATTGGACACATCTAATCACGTGGTAAAAGGCTGCTGTGATTGGCCTTTTACCTCACCATGTGATCAGCTGTGTCCATAGTATCACAGACAGTGCCAGGTGCGCGGGAGGATGTCATATGACACCCTCCCAGAAATGGACAACCGCGCAGTAGTCGTCTTTCAGCTAGAGCGTGGTTGTAAAGTGGTTAAATATGTTGTTCTGCCCCATTTGTATTTCACTTTTTCTGGGTTGTATTGAACTGCATCAGATTTTTATTGTTCGGTAGTATGCCAAAATCCAGTGGTGGTTTCCAGCCAATACAACTTGCATATTTATGTGCTTTTGTTTTCTTCTGTCCTCTCCCGCCTGTCCTCAGTCCTAGCTAAACCCTCCCCACTTCTTCCATGTTCCCACTGTCAGTGTTAGTACTTTGCAGAAACAGGGCTTAGGAAAGTTTACTAAAGCTGGAGAGTGCAAAATCAGGCTCACTTCTGCATAGCGACCAATCAGCATCCAGGTTTTGTTGCCAAAGCTTAATTGAACAAGCTGAGGTTAGAAGCTGATTGGCTACCATTTACAGGTGCTCCAAATTCTGTGTGTGAACCAGTTTTAGTAAATTTCCACCATTGTCTTCTTACTTCACAAGACTGAAATACGTCCTACTGTATGTATTGCACTTAGCTGAAGTAAAATTGCATTGGAATCAGCTTCTGTATCTTTTAGAAGAGTTAAGCTGACTGTGGATGGTGCCAAGTCAGCAGGTGACCACACTGTCCAGACATACTGGGGTTTATTTATTAAAGCTAGAATGCGCAAAATCAGGCTTACTTCTGCATAGAAACCAATCAGCTTCTAACTGCAGCTTGCTAAATTAAAGTCTTACTAAGCCCAGGACTCTGCATTCACTATATCTGGTCTCCCACAGTACACAGAACATGGAAGTGCAATTATTTTAGTAAATGTAAACTGCTAAATACCTTTTCCCATCAGCAGTTAGAGCAGTCTTGTGACTTCAATCACTGTCCAGCCGAACACTGGTTAAAGCTTGTAGGAGGAGTTTTCATTTTGCTTTAGGAGGATGCAGAACCCCTGACCTCTGTCTGGACAGGGTTTCATTGGCTCTGTGCTGATCACATGCATTCACCCAAGAAAAAAAACCTCTCTAGCTATAGACACCAAACTGAGCATGTGCAGAATGTCTCCACCCAATATGTCTTATCAGGAGATAAGAGGGGGGTACTGAAAGAAGGAGAGGATCAGAGAAGTCAGGATCAAACAGCCTTTTTACACAATGCAGAGGATTAACTCCTTCGACAGTAAGTATAACAAACATTCTTTACTGCATATACAGACTGATTTTACTGTTGTGGGTTTAGTAACACAAAGCTTTAGGAATAAAAACTAGAAGTGGATTGATTTTTGTGCAGAAGTGAGCCCGATTTTGCACTCTCCAGCTTTAGTACATAACCCCACTAGGTCTAAGAAGATACAGCAGTGCAAAAAGTAGCATTAAAACAGAACAATGTTGATAGAACTATTAACCACTAGGGGACCGCCCAAAGTACATTTATTGCAGCAAAGCGGCCCCTGTAGGCAGGATCACGTTTATAAACGTCATCCTGTTTACATGGTAGGGGGCACAAGCGACCGCCCTGCCCACAGCCACGGGTGTCAATCACCGTGTCCCGGCCGGTGATTACCCGCCAGGTCCCGGCGATTGCCAGCAAACACTGACACAGAGCACAGCTGCATGGTTTTCAATGCAGCTCTGCTCCTTGTCAGTTCCCAGCACACTGTTCTGGAGAGCAGAGCTTAGCTTTCCGGGACAGTGTGTAACAGTGAAGTACACACCCCCTGCCCACTAGTAAAACACTCCCCTCACAAAGTTAACCCTTTGATTGTCTTTTTATGTTAACCCCTTCCTCCCCAGTGCCATTAGTACAGTGTCAGTGCTTTTTTTTTGCACTGATCACTTTATTGGTGTCACTGGGATGTCAGTGACCCCAAGTCAGTTCCCCCCCAGTGTCAGAACGTCCGCCGCAGTCCCGCCACAAGTCGCTGATCGCCGCCATAAGTCACTGATTACCACCATAAGTCGTTGATCGCCGCTATTATTAGTATACAAAAAAAAATTCCAGTATCTACACCGCCATTTGTAAAACGCTATAATATTCACGTAAACCAATTAATTTACATTTTTTTTTTTTTTAAAGCAAAGACATGTCACAGAATACATTTTGGCCTAAATTTATGACGAAATGTGATGTTTAAATTTTTTTACTGGACATGTTTTATAGCAAAAAGTCCAAAATATTTTTCTCAATATTGTCTTTTTTTTTTATAGCGCAAAAAGTAAAAAATACACAGGCGATCAAATACCACCAAAAGAAAGCCCAATTAATGGGGAAAACGGGATGTAAATTTAATTTTGGTGCAGCGTTGCATGACCGCACACTTGTCAGTTAAAGTGATGCAGTGTCATAACACAAACTGCTTCTGTAACCGCTTCCTGACCGCCCTACAGCAGAAATACTGCTACAGGGTGGCATAGGTGCGCAAAATCAAACACACACATACATACATATATATATATACCGTATTTGCCGGCGTATAAGACGACTGGGCGTATAAGACGACCCCCCTACTTTTCCTGCTAAAATGTAGTGTCTGGGCTATACTCGCCGTATAAGACTACCCCTCTTCCAATGCACACCTGTGGGAGGAATAGTGCCCCATCATTGATGTCAGTGGGAGGAATAGTGCCCCATCATTGGTGTCAGTGGGAGGAATAGTGCCCCATCATTGGTATCAGTGGAAGGAATAGTGCCCCATCATTGGTATCAGTGGGAGGAATAGTGCCCCATCATTGGTATCAGTGGGAGGAATAGTGCCCCATCATTGATGTCAGTGGGAGGAATAGTGCCCCATCATTGGTATTAGTGGCAGGAATAGTGCCCTATCATTAGTATCAGTGGAGGAATTGTGCCCCATCATTGGTGTCAGTGGGAGGAATAGTGCCCCATCATTGGTATCATGTGGCAGGAATAGTGCCCCATCATTGGTATCAGTGGGAGGAATAGTGCCCCATCATTGGTATCAGTGGGGGGAATAGGTGCCCCATCATTGGTATCAGTGGCAGGAATGTGCCCCATCATTGGTATCAGTGGCAGGAATAGTGCCCCATCATTGGTATCAGTGACAGGAATAGTGCCCCATCATTGGTGTCAGTGGGAGGAATGGTGCCCCATCATTGGTGTCAGTGAGGGGTGGAATAGTGCCCCATCATTGGTGTCAGTGGGGGGTGGAATAGTGCCCCATCGTTGGTGTCAGTGGGGGGGGGGGGAATAGTGCCCCATCGTTGGTGTCAGTGGGGGGGAGGAATAGTGCCCCATCGTTGGTGTCAGTGGGAGGAATAGTGCCCCATCGTTGGTATCAGTGGGAGGAATAGTGCCCCATCATTGGTATCAGTGACACCAATGATGGGGCACTATTCCTCCCACTGAGACTTGCTGACCCTGTTCTCGTATGGTGCTGCTGCAGCCAGCATATGTGGTTGCAGCAGCACCTCTACACAGAACACTTACCTGCTGCTCCGGCACTCAATTTTCGCGGGGCCGCTCGGCTCCGCCCCCTCGCCGGTAATTGGTCGCCTGTGTGCCTTTCCTGAGCTACTGTTCTGGCGGCCAATCACCGGTGAGGAGGCGGAGCCGAGCAGCCACACGAACATCCAGTGGCCGAACTGAAGGAGACGCCGCGCTTCCTGGACCGGATCGTCCTGGGACTGGATCCAGGTAAGAGACATCAGCCCCTGAAAACCCCTGTACTTAATGCCGCAGCCCCCCTAACATGTGTACCGGCGTATAAGACGACCCCCGACTTTTGAGAAGATTTTCAAGGGTCAAAAAGTAGTCTTATACGCCGGCAAATACGGTATATATATATATATATATATATATATATATATATATATATATATATATATATATATACACACACACACACATACATACACACACAATTTGCGCTCCTGTGGTTTTCACACCCCTCCCAGAGAGCATCAGATTGCCCGTCAGTACACCAGTCATCACATTTAACCCTTCAATTGCCAGGAAGACGCTCATACACAATAAACCTACATTGCTAGTATAGTGTCTGAACGGATCAATATCTGTGATCAGATCAGCACTATACCAGTGTTCAGCGTTAGTATAGCGTCCCCAAAAATGCAGCGTTAGTGGGATCAGCCCCGGCACCTGCGTTTAGCCCTATGCTTACCTCTCACCCCCCTTCTCCCCCAGCAAGTGCAGTGTCAGTAGGTCACTGTCACTTGATACATTGTACACAACGGCAGTGTTGGCAGAATCAGGCCTGATCTCTGTTAGCACTTGTTGGTAAATTTTGATGACTCTCATATGCAGCAGAGTGCCAGTACTAGTGCGGAGCTACCTTTTGGTGAACTGGTGAGTATTAGTGGCCTAGTACATCCTGGTCTTTCAGATACCTCAGATTACAGGCTCCAAGGGGCAGGGCCCTCCTAACCCTCTTGTATTGAACTGTATTGTTGCTGTATTGTCTCCATTATATTGTAAAGCGCTGAGCAAACTGTTGGCGCTGTATAAATCCTGTATAATAATAATAATACCAGCACTGCAGTATCACTTGGTGACGTGGCGAGTCCCATAAATCCAGTACAAGCTGGTGCGGTGGCGAGCACAAGTATTGACCCGCAACCACCAAAAATTCGCACACAGGCCCGTAGAGCCCCTAGTATCCTTCCGGATGTGCTTGCAAATCCCGATTGGCAGCCCACAAATTCTGCAGCACCCGTACTTCCCCCTTCACTGCCCAACCCGGTATTCAGGTGGAAATAGCACATTTAACTACTCACCTTGATTTTTTTGGAGCCATTTTTCACGTAAAATCTGTATGCATTGATTGTGGATCAAAGCAATTTATATGCAGAACAATTTATCGCCGCCAACCCAAATTCAAACCTTGCCAGACCATTCACGTGCAAACTCATTACGGTTTCCGAATTTAAATTTTTTTTTGGACCTAACCCTCAACATGGGAATTACTAAAAAAAAAAAAAAAAAAAAAAAAAAAAAAAAAAAGAAAAAGGAATTGCAGTTGTATTGGTCCACAGACCCCATTCATCATATGCCCGTGTTCTCTGTTGTCATGGCCAGGCATAGATAAGAGAGTATAATGTGTTTTATGCATTTCAATAACAATACACTGCTTCCTCGGGATGACCCTGAATTTGACCTGCTCAACAAAATTCAGCCCCTCACAAATCACCTTAAGTATACTCCCCAGCAAAAAATCTGCGTTGAGGAGACCCTCATTAATTTTACTGGCCGCCTTGCATTCAAACAATCTCTCCCCAGCAAGCGTGCCAGATATGGGGTCAAGATGTGGAAGACCTGTGAGAGGACAACTGGCTAAACTTATAAGTTTCGGATTTACGAGGGAAAAAATAGTCCCGTGGAGCCCCCCAGATGCTCAGACTACATCGGGAGCAGTGGCAAGATAGTTTGGGACTCAGTGTCATCCCTTTTCCCTATGGAGTACCACTTATACATGGATAATTTTTATTCAAGCGTGCCACTAGTTAGACATTTGTACAATCTTGGAACTGGCGCATGTGGCAACATATGACCTAATGGGTGCCCATCATTAGAAGTGGGTGGATGCAGGGCGGTATATTCTAATGGTGGGCATACTACACACTTTTTCTGGCAGAGATTTCTTCTCTTTTTTTCATTCAGGCCACAGGCTGCATGCAAAAAAAACAAAAACAAAAACATAGCATATACAGTTATACCTCGGTTTACGAATGCCTCCGTTAACATAATTTTCGGTTTACGAATGGAAATCCATTGAAAATAATGCCTTGGTTTACAAATTTTACACATTTTTTTTACAATATGAAGTGTATGTCAGTGCTGATTTTTAAATGCAATTGCCAGCTTTTTTTTTCTCTTCGCTATAGCTCACAACATTATCTGTCACTTTCCCCAGAGCTAAAAGGATACTTTGTATCTTTTAAGAAACTGAAAGGAAACGCTGTTTCTTTTAACTTGGGGAAATAAACTAAGAAACTTTCTCTCTTTTAGCTGGAGGGGGGAACTGACAGATGAATTTCTGAACTACTGTATAGTGAAGAAAAAATAAATAAATAGTAATTACATTTAAAAACTGGCACCTGACAGCTGAGTGTAAAAGAACTGCCAGCAATTAAAAACATTTTTTTTAATTGCCAGCAATTTTTACATTCAGCTGTCAGTGGGGAACCCCGCTGACAGATGAAACATTAACACATAG